GCCTCCCTGAGTGCTAGGATTACAGGCGTGAGCCACCGCGCCCAGCCCATTTTGTAGTTTTTTTCATTTAATCCTCACAATAACCACAAGAGTTAGGTGAAATATCCGTTTTACAGAGAAAGAAGACTGAGGATCAGCTGTTCAGCTCAAGCTTGTCAAGGTTTAGGATGATCATAGCTGTAGCCTGCATTCTTTTAAGAATGTTTCCTTGCCTTGGAAGACAATATATTGAAAAAATACACTGTCCCTTTCTTCTCATGGTGGTGGAGTAGTATTTCAGAAGGAAGTCCTTCCTTGTTTGTCACCTAGCAGGTAGAGTGTCACCCTGGGGATCAGAAACTGTGGTGACCATGAGCCACATGCTTTAATTCTTTCATGCTTTGGTGTTTTTCATTTGCAGATTGGTGAGAAAGAATCTGCATGTCTTGTTTCTCTGTAGAATTTGGGTTGACTGTTTACTTAGAAAGTTCATTTAATACCACATTTCCTCCTAAAGTAGATGCTAACTAATACTTTCTCTCTTATTGCTTTACTGTACTAGAGAGAATAATGTTTGTGACATAAATTCGGTTCATGGCTTGTTTGCCACAGGAACAGTAGAGGTATGCATACATTGACTTTTTTTTTTTAAAGATTATTTGTTTTACATTTGATAATGGAGTTTTTATTTAAAGATAGGCTTGCTTGATTCCTTAGAGCAGGATGATAATGAGGCGGCAGTCTCTGGTTTGCATTTTGTATGGAACACTTACCTGTCCACACGAAGACCTGGCTATTGCACTGCTGCAGACTGTTGCCCCTGTACCTCAGATCTGGCACACATTTACGTTGCCCTCAGGAACTAGACGGGAAGATGCAAGTAGCTGAGCACAGCCCACCATTACTCCTGGATTGCCAGATCCAGGGGACCCCTGCAGACAGCCCCTCTTGTTCTTAGTTGGAGGCAATATGCCCCGGAGTCTCAGCTCTCTCACTTATTAGATTAGTTTTATGACTGTGAATTACTTTCCCTGAGGCTTAGTTTCCTCACAGGTGAAATGGCAATACTACTACTTAACCTTGCCAACTTCATAGAGGTGTTGGTGAGAATCCCATTAAATCACCTATATGAAAGCAGTATGAACTGTGAGAGTGTATAGGATAGTGATTTGCACACCCAGTACAGTAGCATTCAATAAATGTTGAAACGAACATACACATTTTCCTTTTAAACTAAAATATCTTTGAATCAGTGTCATTTATATGTGTCAAGAATTTTTTTTTAGATTTGCATTTTTCACTTACAACAATTATATTAATACTCATAGTAAAAACAAAAGGCAAATTTGTCAGAAGCATATGATAAAAAAAAAAAATGTCCTGTTGTACCTTCCAGTCACCAAATTCTATACCTTAAAGGTAGCTCTTTAATGGTTTGGGGTAGTATCCTTTTAGACTTTTTCCTAAGTAGTATATGTAAATATACATATGTATATGTAGGTATTTTTTAAATGTCTTTATAAAAATGAAATTATATTCTACCATAGTTCTCCATTTCCTTTTTTTTTAATATAACAGTATATAATGTGCATATTTGTATGTTGATACTTAAAATTCCTTGCACTGCTAACCTAATTCTTTTAATTGATGGATAGGAGTCTATTGTTTGAATATACTATAATTTATTAAACCAATTTCATATGGATGAAATTAAGGTTTTTTTACTCAAATTATTTTTATGTTAAGAGATTTAAGATTTGAAATGGGACACATGAGGTTGATCTAACATATATAAAACTATATTCAATGTGTTATAATATCATTATGCCTACATCAGACCAATGAAGCATTCTCTTGGTAATCACTTTGCTTGAGATTACCAAGGGGAATTTCTAAATAGTTTCCTTGTGGAAAAAAAATTTTTTTTTTTAAGATAGGGTCTCGCTCAGTCACCCAGGCTGGAGTGCAGCGGCATAAGCATAGCTCACTGTAACCTGGAACTGCTAGGTTCAGGTTATCCTCTTGGCTTAGCCTCCTAAGTAGCTGGGACTACAGTCAGGCACACACCACCATACTTGGCTAATTTTTAAATTTTTTGTAGAGACCGGTCT